AATTGCGGTTGCAGTCGAGTCTGCAGTGGGGCAGATGTAGTTGGAGCGCAGCGAGCTGGACTTGATGATGACAAGGAAGCTGCTGACAGAGAGCAGGAAAGAGGGAATGATGTATCGCGTGGAGCCGTCGAAGATGAAGCTGTAGACGCGGTCGAGCTGGGTACGCGGGCGCGTGTCAGCACTCCAGGCGGGGTATTGTCGCTGACTGGGGTGCCGAATGCTGTGGTAGAGGGCAGCGACGAGGGGAAGGAATGACTAGATCAGTCAGTACTGTTGGCGCAATGGGAGGGGTTTGCGCACCAATGCAGAGGGGCCGCTGCACTCGACGTCCTTGGTGACGCGGTAGAAGATGGCTATGCGCCCGCATATCGCGAACAGCAGGACGGCCAACAGCGCGCCGACAGCCCGGACGCTCCATCCTCTCCGCCGACCTGGCTGGCCTGCCTCTGTCCATATCTCTTCGGCTGCCGGTCTGCTCTGCACCTGGTTCAGGGCTATGGCGATATATCTTGTATGCGGTTGCGGCTGTGCACTGCGCGACGACCAGGCTTCAATTGCGACAACGGCGAGGCCAGTCAGCAGCAGGACGATGGCGACGGTGTGCAGCGGCTTGTCGAAGGCGAAGGAGTAGTCGACGGGGGTTGCAGTGCTCAGGTACCCGGATGCTAGGACGAGGCCGCTATTGTCTTGTCAGCTGGTGTGCTGCTGGTAGCCTAGGACTGTGCTTACCACGGGAAGAAGAGGGCCTTCCTGTCCATGACCGCCGCATTCTTCGTGGCTTTTCTTTACAGCGGTGGGGGGAACAAGTAGTCGCGACAGGCAGCGCTCAACATGGCCCGATGGTGATGGACAATTGAGCGACGTGAGAAAGTGATTGTACTGAGGCCCGCGTCACTGGGAGCACGGCTGCCCGGCACCTGCAGCCATACCAGCGGGCTGTGCTAGAGACCCTCACACTAACGGGAGGTGGAGAAGTCCGTGCCCACCCCGAGTCGAACGTCTATTAGCGGTTCTGCTATACGCAAATACGCACTTCTACGACGCATCCCATGTTTCGTCCACTGTCACTCGCTGCGTCGACATCGCATTCGATGGGTGAAGGCACCCTGCAGTCGCCGATCGGACCCTGGGACGCGATCTCCAGGAACCGTCCGCAATTACATCACGCACACGAGACGGCTATCACGGCAGCTATTTCACTGCTTCGCCCCGCTGTGAGACGTGCGCAACTTGTGATCGCCGCTCTTGGTCGCCCTTAGCGGTATCAACTCTTCTTCAATTCTTCACCATGATGTTTGCCACTGCGACACCGAGTTCACTGCAGTCGTCATCAGCCCTGGCGCTAAGCTACTATCGAAACAGCTTTTCTTGCGAGCGAATGGTGGGGTGCCTACATGTCTTCAGACGCGGGAACATGCATGCGCCTCACTTTGTGGTGGCGCCAAGCACCCGCGGCTGTCAGCATGTCATGCTCGTATTGATATGTGAATACAGTCATGATGGTGTCCACTTTGACGTTCTCGCATTGTAATGACTCCAAGACTACTGCGCCAGGAACCCGCTTTTGTGAGCAAAGGAGCTTCGTTCGCGGCACTGTAGCAAAATTGGAGCTGCCGGCGAAAACTGGCCGAAGACGATTACCACATCCGTAAAGACTGGCAGTCTGATGTCCGATGAAGCGCCGTGGTGCAAAGACTACTACTGCTAGGTCTTCGGCGCGGATACATGATCCAACGATGCTTCAGCTCAGACGACTTATAGCTTTCTTTTGCGGCGATGGTCAAAATCGGAGTTGGATGAGTGGGGTGATCCAAAACCTCCGCCAACGACATCACTACTATCCAATGGCATCAGGATCTCATCAACTTGGCTTGGAGTATTCCGTGCAGTGAACATGAGCCCGGTGTATCTGCCCCCCAAAAAAAGAAGAGTCGTGCCAACCTACTGTGGGCGTGCTTGGTTCGTGAACACATCGAGGAGGGTGGTATCTGCATGGAACTTTGAGAGTGTGATTGAGTTCTCCAAGCATCTGAGGACTGATGCAGACACTATTCTACAACCTGGAACTCAGACATTATCACATACGTTATGTATTACTCGTCAGCTAACTCGCATATGTGTGCGATACCGTTGTTTGGTTCCATCCACTTCATCTACTGGTAATGCGACATCCCGAACCGAGTAGCGAGCCACTCACGACCCAGCAACACACAGTCATTACATACACGAGGGTACTCTCGAAAGCAATATTTCGCGATTATCGGAGACTTCGAGCATCAACCAAAGCCGCAGTCCAGATTTGACCTCGCCATCCCTCACCCTTATTTCTTTTCAACGACGGCCTCCCCTTTGGCCCAACATTATGAGCTTTGCAGCATTTTAACGGCTTCCGAACACTTATGATCTCTGCTCAAATTGCGAAGCTGCTATCTCGATCGACCAATATCTCACAACGCAATAACCGATGACCGTCACTAAGAATCGCGGCGCGGTCAGAAAGGCGAAGAAGCGACAACCCCTTCTGTAGGCAGCCCGTATCCACTTACTTGCCACGAGAGCTAACACATTGTAAAGGTTAGGTTACAGAACCCTCCGTCTATACGTAGGCTCATCGCGCCGCAAATTCTCGGTGCATGCAGACTTGCTTTGCAAGCATTCGGTTTACTTCAAGAACTTAATCCAGAAAGTAACAAAAGACATCGAAGGCGAGTGTGTCATATGCCACGAAACCCTCGATGCGGCGGGCGCAGACTTGATATCCTGCGAGACATGTGGGAACAACCTTCATGAACACTGCTTGGGCAAATGGTACAAAACCAAACCCACGTGCCCTACATGTCGCACGAAGTGGGTCGCGCCGTTGGAATTTTTGTGCATGAATCTTGAAGATCTCAGTGCCGATGGGTTCCATATGTACATTCAGTGGCTCTACGGATCCAGCCTTCCAACCTACGACGCGGACGAAGGAGATGATGAACTTCGTTGCATCCGGCTGATCAACGCGCATATAGTGGGCGACTTCGTAGAAGATAGCGAGTTCGCGAAAGCTGTGCGCGAGAAGATCGTCAAGTGCAGCCTGAACATGACAGATGCGTCTCGCCACAAGCTCCTTCTCCGTGTATACGAGAATACCAATGGTCCCTGCATTCTTCGAAAATGCTTCATTGACTTGTGTATGCTCCAGAATATACACACGGCAACCGAATGGGAAGAAACTCCGAAAGAGATTAGGAAGGATTTTCGCCTTCGTTTAAGGGAGAGGACAATGGCTCGCAATGATGAAGAAGTCTTGAGCTTCATGAGCTATGAAGGATATATCGAACAGGACGAGGCAGATATTGACGAGGTCGATGACACCACTGGGAATGAGAGCCTGAACAGTTGAGCAGGGGAATATCGATTCCGATCAGCATGGTCATTGGCGATGGTTTGGGGTCATGCGTGCAATCAATGCAAGAGACCTTCGCAGCTATGAGAATCCTGGTTATGGAATAGATGCGGCTTGGGTTCAGGACAATTAAAGGGTATTTGAAAATGTAATGAACTTACGCGCAACTACGCAAGCAGGTGTCAGATGCATTCGCAAGGTCAGCAAACGTGAGCCCCATGAGTAGTGTATTCAGTCTTCATAACACAGAACTCGCAGGTACACACAGGATGAAGAATAACAACCACACGCACGCGACAAATAGGCAGAAACGTCGCGCCTTCCAAACTCTCGAAATGTGTCCTGTCGTCTCCGCCAAGCCGCTCGCATCCCACTCCCGACCTCGCATCCCTCACCCAAACCAGGTTAGTCATCAAACCACCGAAGAACAGCCAGGTTCCTGCATGCCACTAAACCAAACCCGGCATTGTAAACTTCATCAACCACCCACCACCAACCCCCTCCAACCAATCACGCGCATCACGCAGATGTGCGCACGACGCCCGAGGAATCCGGGTCGGAGGGTTTGGCACGACCGTCTCGCCGTTACGCACGTTTGTTTTTGCCGATGATGGGGCTGAAAGGCGCGAGAACCACGTTAGAACCACGTTTACGCTTCTAGCAAGCACCTGGGCATGCAAGGCGCAGGTGGCCCTGCGTTTTTTGTTAGGCTGACAGGCGGAGGTGCGGTACTGGTGTATTCGGTATGTTCCGGATGGGAACGTGGGTGGAGGTACATATACGAGGCTATAGTACTTTGAGGTAGTGAACCGCTTCATCAATTTCGTCTTCCCGACCTGCTTTCGCGTGTGTGGGGGTATTCAACTACCAGGACGCTACGATGGCTGCTACCAGCACCCCACCAGATAAGGAACCGCACATATCCTCCCAGCCCATCACCTGGAAGAACTGGTACAGAAAGATCAACTGGCTCAACACAACGCTCGTCGTCCTGATCCCAAGCTACGGTCTCTACCTCGCCCGCTCCACACCCCTCACCCTTCCAACATTTCTATGGAGCATTCTCTACTACGCCACAACCGCCTTTGGTATCACAGGCGGATATCATAGGCTGTGGAGCCACCGATGCTACTCTGCACGCCTTCCCCTACGATTATTCCTCGCGTTCACAGGAGCAGGAGCAATCCAAGGTAGCATACGGTGGTGGAGCGCTAATCACCGTGCTCACCACCGATGGACGGATACGATGAAAGATCCCTACTCCGTCATGCGCGGACTGCTCTTCTCGCATATCGGATGGATGGTGTTGAACAACGATCCGAAAGTCAAAGGACGAACGGATATTTCTGATCTCGATAGCGATCCCATCGTCGTGTTCCAACATAAGCATTACGGTAAACTGCTTTTGTTTACAGCCTGGATCTTTCCTGCCATGGTCGCTGGACTGGGTTGGGGCGATTATTGGGGCGGGTTTGTGTATGCGGGGATTATACGGGCGTGTTTCGTGCAACAGGCTACGTTTTGTGTCAATAGCCTTGCGCATTGGATAGGGGAGCAGCCGTTTGATGATCGGAGGAGTCCGAGGGATCATGTGTTCACTGCGTTAGTGACGATGGGGGAGGGGTATCATAACTTTCATCATGAGTTTCCGTCTGATTACCGTAAGTTGCGGCTTCTTCGAGCTATGGGAGGGGTAACAATACTGATGCAAGAAAGGGAATGCGATTGCCTGGTACCAGTACGATCCTACGAAGTGGCTTATTTGGATCATGTCGAAGATCCCGGTCTTTCCTCTAACATACGACTTGAAGACTTTCCGCTCGAATGAGATTGAGAAAGGTAGACTCCAGCAGCAACAAAAGGCTCTCGACAAGAAGCGATCGATGCTCGATTGGGGTGTGCCACTCGCTCAGTTGCCGGTGATTAGTTGGGACGATTTCCAGACTCAGGCTTCAGCCAAGGGTGCTGCTTTGGTCGCTATTGCTGGAGTGATTCATGACGTTTCGCCGTTTATCGCTGACCACCCTGGCGGCAAGACGCTGATTAAAAGTGCGATTGGGAAGGACGCTACTGCGGTGTTCAACGGTGGTGTATATGAACATTCGAACGCGGCACATAATTTGCTGTCGACAATGCGTGTTGGCATATTGCGAGGCGGACAGGAAGTTGAAGTTTGGAAAACAGGTGGCGAGAAAGACACCAGAGACACCAAAGGTCTCGGTGTTGTCAGGGCTGGTGATCAGATCACCAGGGTAGCTGCCCCAGCTACGGCAGCCACAGCAGCCTGAACAATATGAGGTCAGGTATTGAATCGTGTATTTCAAACACAGAACTCTGGGATCGTATAGATCCTTATCTTACTTGCCCGAAGGCATCTCCTCCCACTGAACTCCGACCCATTCCTCCACATATCCGACTTCTCCTTCCTGAACATCGTTGGGCTTGCAGTCTTTGCTACATACTGCCATGATAATAGTGCCCCATTCCATGCCGTCGAGACTCATCTCATCAGCCTCGAGCTCGGTGATCGCATGTGGTGTTAGTTGAACTTCGAAGACTCTGTCCGCGCCACAAGTCGAACATCGAGGGAACCCAGCCCCACTCCGTGAGCCTGCTGTCTTGACTTTTGCGTTCGACGAGGGACCATTCTCTGAGTGTGGACCCAGAAGCTTGCCGATAGCATCGTTGTCGCTGTACAGCAGCGGCTTGCCTTTGTACTCATATCGTAGTACCTGCTCTGCATTCTCGCCGATGCGATCTGCGAACTTCTGGAACGTCCTGTCCATGGATGACTCGAACACCTCCTTGTCTTCTTTGCCACCACCGCTACCGCTGCCTTCATTATCTGTGTCCATCCGCACGTTCGCTGGGATCGAGGGTGTTGAAGGGGCGTCTAATGTCTCGTATTCGGCGTCGAGGTGATAGTGAGGGAAGGGCGTAGGAAAGGCTGAGTCTGCTGGCCATGGCTCATGCGGACGCGGGGGTTGTTGTTCTGAGGGAGGTGGTGACGAGAGACGAACTTTGGACGCGAACGTCTCGGGGAGGGTCGTAGAGGCTTCGTCTTTCTTCTCTTGGGGCTCGCTGACTTGCACTGCGGGCGTGGGACTCGATGCGCCGAAGGGATTGGCGCCTGGTTTGGAGAAGGGGTTTGATGACGCTGCGCCATTCGGGTTGGACGAAAACGGGTTCGAGAAGGGGTTCGCGGATGTCGATGCGCCTGTCCCGTTCTTCACTCCGAACAGCGACTCGCCAATCTTGAGCTGCGGCTTCTCTTCTTCCTTGACTTCCTTTTTCTCAATTTTAGGTGCGCTGGCCTTGTTATTGGCGCCTTTTGCGATGCGCACGCCACGTATGCCCCTCACACTGCCCTCCTTCCTTCTACACGGCTTGCGCCGACATGTCCAGATGTAAAGTCGCCGCTCGTGGCCAGGAAAGTTGTCGGGAAGATCGCCATTAAGTTCGAGAAGGAGGCTGAGGTAGCCATTGCAGACTTTACATTTTGCTAAGGCGCCAGAAGGGGCTGTCTTCTCATCTATCCAGCTCTACTATGATCGTCAGAAAGACGCTCGGCGTGGTTGATGATGTGCGTACCGGTGCGCCTCCAATGTGGGAAATCGCGTCGCCCGTTGCTTCCCTCGCTGCATATCCCAGCAGAACATTCGTCTCGGTGTAGTCGCCTCCATCGTCCGAAGAATCACTGTCGTAGGGCGCCATTCTGGTTGTTCTTGTGTATATTTCCAGAGTTGGTTGTTTGGCGGGGTCTAACTTTTTTGAATATGACGCGGGGCTGCTTGGTGGCCAATGCGCCTTTTGTCGCACTGAGCGAATTTGACCAAGCCTGCAACACCAACTCTTCGTCGCTCATCCACACAACCACCATGGGCGCCCCTTTCGACTTCGCGCCTGAGCGGCCGGATCACATGCAGCAGATCCTCGATGGACTGGATCGCTACAACCCAGAGACGACGGGTGTCTTCCAGGACTATGTCATGCAGCAGTGCGAGAACCAGACGTACGACTGCTACGCCAACCTCGCCCTGTTGAAGCTGTACGTGTCCCCCCTACTCTTCTCCCCATGCTACAAGATGAATAAACAACCACAACGTTTCCTATTACCCGAGGGATGGAGCATGAATCACTCCCCCGCTGAAGTTTATTATTAGCTCTATCTGACAGCTTTCTCCTGACTACCATTGTACCTCACGCATCATCGTTACATCTGCTAACCACGATGCTCCAGCTACCAATTCAACCCACACCTTGCCCGTGACGAGACCATCACCAACATCCTCGTCAAGGCTCTCACCGTCTTCCCCAGCCCCGACTTCTCCCTGGGCCTCTCCCTCCTCCCTCCACACGTCCTAGCTCCTCTGTCATCTTCATTACACAACCCAGCTGCCGGTGATGCGCCGCTATCAGAAGCTGTCCAGAAGCTCAATGAGCTGAGGAATCTGCTTGAGGGTGCCGACTACTCTACCTTCTGGTCCACACTAGACTCCGACGACCTGTACGCCGACTTGATTGCCGATGTCTCAGGGTTCGAGGAGCTGATGCGCGTACGCATCGCTGCAACCGTCAGCCAGGCGGTGCGCGAGGTTGACCGCAGCATCCTCGAGTCGTGGTTGAACCTCTCCGGAAGCGAGTTCGACAACTTCGTCGGAAGCGTTTGCGGGTGGAACATCGATGGTGCCAAGATCAAGGTGCCCATCAACAAGGACAACGAGGCTAAGGGCACCGTTGTCCGTGAGAACGTCAAGTTCGATCGTAAGCACACCAGCACCACAAACGTCGAGTCGCTGCTAACAAGCCCATCAGAATTCGCAAGGGTCATCAAGAGGGCATACGAGCAGCCCGCATGAGCGACACGACTTATAGTATGACGACATGAGGCTACGGTTTGCACGGTCGGCGTTTGAGGCGGACATTACAACTGCATCAGTATGCGACAGAAGCGTACCAGCTGGCCTTCGACAACCGCACAGGTTGATTTCGATGGCTCGCTATATACCCCAAAAGTACGCCGCTATGAGCAGGGCCCAGGAGCATGAAATCTCCATGGGCTAACAAAGATCCAATCACATAAATCCGACAAAGTTCAGACAAAGTTCACTGCTCCTCCTTTCCTTTTTTCGCAATCTAGATCTCCTTTCCGTTTCGCTTCTAACAACCCAGTCCCTGTCAGAAAACGGTGGATGACGGTCCCATAGGCTCGGAGATTCCTGACTTAAACTTCTCACACTCGCCAATAATCAGCCGCATGTCTATCATTCGTTATTAAATGTCCGACATCTGGAGCAACTTCTGGCTTGTAACATGGCGCGACAGTGGAATTGAATCGTACTGCGATAGGGAGTGGTGCCAAGTCGATGCGCAACGGCCCCGTGAATTTCGCTTATGCGTACGCCACCTTTGCCTCTTACCAACCGTCCAACCCTGTCAACAACAACACCAAGGACAGCTTCTACGTGTTTACCATTGCGCATTCCAGTCGATAACAATGTGGCGCGGCGGGTTAGCTCCTTTCGATCAGGTTTTGACCCTGACAGCTGAAGCTTGTTCGACATGATCACAGCCTGGAGTGTGCTTTTTGCGTTGAACTATGCAACGCGAGCCTGAGATTGTATATGGTTATGGTAGGGGTCGATGTCCTTTGCGGAATTTCTTACCTTCACTTTCACTTTCACCTTCACCTTGGTCGGTTGCGCTTCGAGAGAACCGGTGTCCACATTCCTCCAGTAGCTACCAGTAACATTGCGAGCTTACATGCCCGTCCACGTCACACACAACATACACGAACTCTCCACATCACCGTCCAAAGACCGATCCTACTGACTTGGAACAATTCAAGTCGAAGTGCACGTTAGCAACCTCTAGCTCACGTCACACGCGGCTTCTCGTCAGGTCTCACTCGTGATCGCCTCGGCTCAGCTGCTTCAGCTACCTGCAGCTTACACGGAGCTGAACATTCCATCAGTTAGGACCACATTCAAAAAGCGACTTAAGTCTGCAAAATTGCCCAGTTGTGCGACCATACTCAACATCGATAATACGTCATCATGCCTCTCCATGGATTCGTACTCTTTATTGTGTGCGCCATTCTCACTTTCGCGACCGCGCAAGCCAGTCCACTATCGTCACCGCAGCAAGCGCCTTCTGTCAAGCGCTGCACGAATGCCGTTGTCAATCCCTCATTCGAGATCCCTGTGCTGTCTCCGTGGATGGATATGGTGACCGGTTCGTGGTACTCGCGCGGGATATCCACCTCCCCTACAGGCGGACACTCCGGCAGTAACCTCTACGCCGCGACATCGAATAGCTCAGCGGTCCAAGCTACACTTACGTTATCGCAATCCTACATTGATCTTCCTGTCGGTGCGACGGTCGATTGCTACGCATGGGTTACCGGAAGGAGACCGAATGGGCAAACGCGCGTTGAGATCTTCCTCGATCAAGTCAGCTGTGGAGAAGCAGTTCATATGGGGGTTGGACAAGAAGGCTGGACGAAGGTTGGAGGAAAAGTTCAAGTGCAAGATGTACCTGGAGGCGTTGGTCATTCGGTTGCCATCAGTGTGCAGGGCGATGGCGTTGAAGATGAGGAAGGCTGGAGAGTGGCTGTTGACGATGTTGGTGTGATGGTCGGATGCTAGACGAGCGGAAATGAGTGGCATGAAACAACTGATCAGGTCAGGTTGGGTAGAGAGAAACCCGGCATATTTCGGGAGTTCCAGGGTTAAGATGAATAAAAGTGTCCATCAAAGAGCAGCCACTGCCGAGTGAACTTGAACTATCAGAGACGAGGAGAAAGATACGGAGCTATGATGTCGACAGAGGCAAGATCGGGTGTCTTACTAAAAGACTTCGCGCTAGCGGTCGGATTTGGCAGCTGCAGTACTCTACCCAGAAGTATTAACTATCCCCCGATCGTCGATTAACCGCGATCTTCAAACACTTCAATCACTCCGGTTCCTTCAGTCCAATCTCCGCCGCCTTCCGGTCGCAGAACTCGGCCATGTCCACATCCTTGATACTCAGTCCCTCGGGCTTATGCGTAGTCCACTCGATCTCGACCCTATTATACAGATTCGACCAACTCGGATGATGCTTCTTGACCTTGCACTCATCCGCAACCAGCGACATGAACCGCCAAGCCTTTGCGAAACTGGTAAATGTGAAGGTGCGCGTGATACTCTTCCTCGCAGCGTTGATTTGCCATGCAGGAGAGAGGCTGGACACACGTTCGGCTAAGTCAGTGGGTTGGTTGGCAGCGTAGATCATGTCATATGCTGCA